AGATATATATATATATATATATAGATATATATATATAGATATATATAGATAGATATATATAGATATATATATATATATATATAGATATATATATATAGATATATATATATAGATATATATATATATATATAGATATATAGATATATAGATATCTATATAGATAGATATATAGATATATAGATATAGATATATATAGATATACGTATATCCTGAGCAGGGATTCTAGATCAGACCGTGAAGGCTGCGTCCTCTGAAGGATGCAGCCGCTGAAAAGAGAAACCATTATCAATAATGTTAACACAAGGACGCAAACTTAAGATTGACACATTTTACACAGCAGCATATACACAAATCATTTACATGTCTTATTGTGGGTTTAAATAAATAAAAGAAAAAGATGACTGTCACAACTGTCACCTCTGTGACAGCAACAATAACAAATCAGAAGTGTATTGTCCTCTTAGTAAAAGTATAGGATGAGGTAATGTAACTGTAATATAGGATGAGAGCTAATGTAACTGTATCCATCAGTCGTGTCCTCTGAATCTGGGAGTAGAAGGCTGCATTCGAAGGAGTCTTGGAAATTGGACCGCCTCGTGGCAGCCGCTGTGACGCAAGCGGTCTACAAATGCAGCCTTTGAAGGATGCAGCTGGTGGATTGGGACACAGCTTGTGTGCCTGCCAGCCATGACATCACCGCTCTATGCCCCCCCCTCCCTTCTCTGCTGTCACACAATGGGCCAAACATACACAAGAAGGACACAGCGGTGATGTAACTGTTGCAAACTCTTCAGCCAAGACTTAATTACTAACAAATGAAATTCTCCAGAGTGAGTTCTAATTTGACCGTTTTCAGATGACACAATGCAGCGATTGTATCCCAGCTGCACTAACGAGACATCGGCTGAGAGAAACGCAGGGTTGCTGCTCGTTGTGGTTGTGCAGTTCCCTAACTTTATATTTAGATTTTTAAGATCTTTAAAAGCGGTCAGTTCACCCAATTTACAAACACATTTTTAGTGGTTTGCACAACAGCGATGCAGTTTCAGCATATGTGGCAACTTTTGAAATCCATCCATTTATATATCCTCTAAGATTTATGCTGCCAACCCAATGCAATAAAGGTGAATGGATTAGTTGTATTATTGATGTATCTAGAGCTGAACTGATCAGTTACTAGCAAAAACACCAAACATGATCTTGTTCCACCTTCTCAACTGTAATGATTCTGAGCTTTTCTTTTGTCTTATGACATATTAAATTGACATGTTTTGGATGCTACATCATGCTTTGTACATCAAACAATCAATGAATTGAGATTATAACTGGTAGAGAAATCAATCATTGAATTATTTTAAGCCCTAATTTAATTTGACAACTACTGTCTTAATTGTTTGGTATATAAAATGTCACAAAAGTAGAAAGGACATGCTCATCACTATTTCCTTAAACTCAAGGTGATGTCTCTAAGTAACTTGTTTTGTCACCACCAGTCTAAATTCCCCCCAAAAAGTCAGTTTACAATCACATAGAATAGCAGCAAGTAGTTCATGCCTCTCAATTGAGAAACTGGAATTAGGAAATGCTTGGCATTTTTTTTATTTTCTTTAAAAATTACTAATAGTTGCTGAAAATTCATGTTCCTTCAAACATGAAAAGAAAACCAGGCCAGGTCTTGGGATTATCCTGCATTGTTTTAAGAAAAATCATAAGTGACGTTTTAATGTCTTGTGCACCACAAACAAGATTCCGTCTAGAAAGCACACATTTGTAATCCTTGTCAAATAAAACGCAAACTATCTGCATGGCCAAGATACGGTTGCATGAGAAGCACATTGTGTGTGTGAAGTGTATTAACTGTGAACTAAGCCTTTAAAAGCTCTTGACAAACAAAACAGATGGCAAAATACAAGTACCCCCCCCCCCCTCCACAAGAATTCAGTCAACATGTCGTTATCTGAAAACTTTAATTTATTATATAGTAAAAGTAGCTCTTTTGTGCGATTTGCCATTAACAAGATGTCTGTAACACTGTTCTGAGATAGTCACTGTATGATCCCCCCCCCCAGCACCACTCTGCACTCTACTACCCGCCCCCGAGAACAGAAACCTGGAATATCAGCCTTCTGAAGTAATCATCTTTTCTCTCAGAGAATATTAGTACGCTTCAGTGACGAGGTCACTTTAAAGTGTCAAACTCCTAGGAGTTAGTTTAACAGTCCTACTAACTCCGACAACTGTAAAGGCCATCAGCCGCGACACACGGGAGAAGTGTCTGCTACAACACAAAAACACACCGGTCCGTATCGCAAAGTACCATTTTACATAGAATGCATCTCAACAGGCCAATGAAAAGCATTCAAAGTGCTTCTTCAAATGAAAGATATGGTCAAAATGAATTAGATGTGAAAGGTTGAATCAACATAAAGTGTTATAAAAAATTGCATTGCGTTTCAAGGGGCATAGAGTCAACAGTAAAAAAATTAAGTGAATAACAAAAGAAACCATACCAAAAACACAGTTTTGCTGGTCCAGAAGCATGTTCAGAAAACTCTGAGGTTTTTTTGGAGGGAGCGATACGACTTAATGCAGAGCACCAAAACAGACAGTCCAGATGACACCAGCTGTTGTAGAGGTGGAGCACAAGTTAAAGGGGCGTGACGAAATAGTCTGCAGGTTTCTGGTAGCTGTGTGCTGGCTGGTTGTGTGTTTGAATTTGCTGCTGCTGTTGCTGCTGGATGATCTGCCGGACTTCCTCCTCCAGCTCTGGCGGGATGATAAGCTGGTCGTCGGGGTCCGGCTGGGCGGGAGCGTTGAAGTAGCCCCCCTGCTTCCTGACGGGGGCGTCGGCCGCCTCCTCTATGAGGTCCTGGTTCCGTCCTTGGCAGGCCACGGAGCCGTTAGCTCGGGCCCTGCGGCCCAGAGTCCCCGACTGACCCTCCCCGCTGAGGCAGGGAGAGGAGGGAGGGACCGGGGAGGGAGACGGGGAGGAGAAGGGAAGAGGCGACGGCTCGTGGTGCGAGGCGACGGCGGCAGGGACGTACACGCTCGGTTGAGCGCGAGTGTGCATTTGGGGCATCGGGCGGTGCAGACAGTGGACGTCGGCCTCCACCTCGACGCGGCTGCCGTTGGAGAAGACGCCAGCGATGGGCTCTTCGTCCTCGCTGTCGACCCCGTTGTCAGACAGGGCTCCGGAGAACTGTCTGTGGAAGGTCCCGCCTCCGCAGGCCGGTCTCCGCGTGCCGGCTCGCCCCAGAGGATTCAGGTGACACGCGAGGGGCTCGGTCTGAGGCGGCGGCTCCTCGGAGGACGCCGTGGATCCCACCTCGCTGCTCATCTCCGACGTGCTGAACTCGCTGCTCAGGTCGCTCGCTGTTCCCGAGGAGGCCGGCGGCAGCGGCATTCCGCCATCGCCGCTCGCCGGGTACGGGTGCGTGCCCGGGCCGGGACTGTGAGGGGGCGGCAGCGGCTCGCAGAAACAGCAGCAGTCCTCCGTGATGCTGAGCTGGATGACGACAGCGCTGAGGCTGTCGGAGCAGCCGTAGCTCTGAGCCAGAGTCACCAGCTTCTTGGCGGCGGCCAGAGCGTCCGGTACGTTCCGGACCGCCTCCACCGCCTCGCTGGGAGACAGCATGTCCCACAAGCCCCGGCTGCCCAAGAGGAAGAACTCGTCCTGCGGGGTGAGGGTCACCGTGGAGACGTGGGGTCTGGGGGTCACAGACGGGCACAGGAAGGAGTAACCCAGAATTCTGGTGGAGTCGGTTACGCCACTGACTTTGTTATCCTGTAGGAGAGTGGGATAAAGAGGCTGTTATCTAGCTTTTCCAGACAAAACCTCAATAATGAGGTGTTATGAGTCAATCTGCAAATCAATTAATCAACTCATCGTTTAAGCACTAGTGCACACAAATCACCATCAACAACACCTGGAACACGAGTTGGTCTTTACCTCGGTGATGATGGAGTTGTGCTGCCGGACCCTCTGGTACTCCGGCACCTCTTTGACGGTGTGTGTGGTGGAAAGTTGCATAGCTTTACCGTCGCGGCACAAAACAGCCTGGCACCTGCCGACGTTGGCGGCCTTCAGCGTGAAGCAGCCGCCGCGCTCGCCGGGAGCCACCGGGTCATGTCTGATGTGACATAGAGCCGCTGAACCCCCCATCCTCTGACCCGCTGTGCCCAGTTTCCTGCAGGAGACCAAAATCACAAAGACTCAGCAAAGGGAGCGTGTATGCTCGTCCGTCACTGTGATGAGCCGCGGCAGCGTTTTCAGGGGGGGATTATTTTACTCAAGCTGTGTGGTTTACCGCTGCATGGTGAGGAAAGTGTTGGTCATATGATCTTCCTGCCTCTGGCCTCTGTGAAGCTCCTCTGCCAGCACGTCTCCCATGGTGCACTGCAGCAAGTAAGGCACCTCGACGTTCTTGTCTCCGTCAAAAACTCCATACAGAGCTTCACGAATCCCACAAAAGCTGTCTAGAGCCAGAGCAGCCACACACAGCCTGAGAGCAACAAGAACATCGTTATTCATGTGTAATGTAGCTTCATCTCATCCTGCCTGCAATATTCTGAAAGCACTTTGTACCTCTGTGGTTTGGAAAAGTGCTAAATAATCTAAATTACATTTACTCACTACTTAATTGTGTTCTAATAGACTTCAAGAGATCAATAACAGCCATTAATTCAGGAGGAAAAGATGGCAGTGAGAAGATGAATAGAAACATAAATAGATGGGGGGGGGTGAGACCGACTTGTTTTTGACTCCAGAGGCCTCGGTGTAGCCGTGGCTCCAGACTGCAGGGGCCCCGTGGCTCTCGCTCACACACGGAGCAGAAGGGGATGGATCCACCCTGAAACATTTGATATTACTGCAAAGAGGAGAAATATAACAAAAAAAGATCATGAGTCAATGAGTGAAATACATTTTCCACAGATTACTTATTATTATTGCTGATGCAGGATCTGTCAGGCTCATACTTGAGGAGCTCCAGGCTCTTGTGGTCCAGGTTGAGGCGAGGGTTGCCTGTGATGTCCAGCTCCTGAAGCTTCTGAGGAAGCGTCTCCGGCAGAGTGAGCTCAGTCAGCTCGTTGCAGCTCAGGTCGACAAACTGAGGAAGCGCAGCACAGAGAGAGAGCGACAGAGGGTCAGTTCACCTTGCTACATCACTACAAATTTGCATCAGACTCGGCGATTTGTTTGTCCTTTTCTCAGCAGAATGCGCCGACTTTCCTCCTTTATTTCCCAAACTAATTCCACGACAGACTAACCTTGATCTCTGGCAGCTGCAGCACCTCGGGGAACGCGTTGATGCAGTTGGAGTGGGCGGAGAGTGTGTGCATACGCTGACAGCTGAGGATGGTGGTGGGCACGGCCCTCAGTCTGTTGCCGCTCAGGTCCAGCTCCTCCAGCTGCTCCAGTCGGGCCAGTTTACTGCAGGGGGTGGAGGTACGGTCGTATCAGAGCACTGGCACTGCAGGCTTTATTTTTGGGAACCACATTTATCAAACTCATCCTCTCTCGTGACCTAAACCTGATTCTGAAGCAAGGCATTTCACTTCTTTTTTTTTTTTTTTTCTTTTTGCAAGCTCAGTTTATGTACAGTCCTGCATTGTACCTGGCGGTGAAGGTTTGCAGCTGGTTGTAGGCCAGGTGAAGCACCCTGAGGTGGCTGTGTCCGGTCAGCAGAGGGACACACTTGTCTGTCAAGCTGTTATTGGTCACATAGAGCTCCTCCAGGCTGCTGCAGCTGTCCTCCGATAGGCTGGCCGCAGGGAGGTTCTCCAGCTTATTGGCCGACACATTTAGGTACCTCAAGCTGTGATGAAATCCCAACAGAGAGGACAAACTTAGTACTTGAATAAACTACTTGACAAAAAGAAAAGAACATTGCAGCTGGGATGGGGTGAAGTAGAGAAAGAAAGACGTGAAACACACGTGAAGAGACGAGAAATAAAGAAAGAGAAAAGAGAGGAAATAGACGTGCTGTGGAGTTGCACCTCTGTGCTTTGATGAACAGGTTGTGTGGGAGCTCAGTCAGATGGTTGTGTTGGAGGTCCAGGACCTCAAGCTGCGATCTCTCCAGCCTCTCAGCCAGCCGACACACTTGGTTCCAGCCTGCCAGCAGCTTCCTCAGGCTCCCACTGGACAGCAGCCTACACGACACACAAACATACATGCGTACTGTAAAGCTGTCGGTGTGAACGCTGATGACGACAGTATTGTGTGTGCCCTTATGTTACAGCGACCCAGCGTTTAACTCCTATTCACTTTAAAGGTTTAACTCTTGAAGCACGGCTGGCTGGACAAGTGCATGACCTTGAGTTGGATTTACGTTGGTGCTTCATGTAGCTTGTAGCTGGACCACTGTCATCATACAGGTATGCAAAAAAGCAATGATCAACTAGTCTGCGAAGGCAACAGCAGTTGCTGCCAAAGGCTGTACACAGACTGCAAATAGCACTGCACTGGTGTGGGCGTGTTGCTACAGGTACCGATGAGACCTTTTGGAATAATGTGTTTATTTAAAGACGCAGCAGCTCTATTACTATCCAGTGTATCTGTATGTGCAGCGTATTGCAGGTCAGCCCACTCGAAAATGACCTTTCCTCTTATAGAATTGTTGCACAAGTAATAGTTTTCGAAGATTTTCATTGAAATAAATGTTTGTTGAGTGGAATGAGGTAACACATTGGTGATTGAGTCTATGGCCCACTGATTTAAGTATTGGAAATATATTTTGCAGTATTATGAACTGGGTGCCTGTGCACTGTTAATGCAAACCTAACATTTACTGCTACAACTTCACATTAAAAGCATTTAACTGATGAAATAAAAGTGGAAATGCATCGTTCCATCGTTCATCAGAAATGCGTCTACAAAGCGAGATGACGGTCATTGTTGTGACATCCGATCAGTTTGAAACATTGCAGAGAGTAATGGAAAAAGTAGGAGGAGCCACAGTGAGCTGTTAGATGAAGAGCTGCATGGGACAAGCTCCTCAGGGAGGTAACGCACTGCTTTTACTTGCACTGTTCGCAGTGTGCAACATACAATCAGATCAGGCCAATTGTTGCATGACTTCTTTATGAAAACAAAAATAGTTTGTTTTGTTAACCCAGTATTCTGGGACTTGTAGTATAAAACTGTCACCACCAGTAAATGAGGTGTTAACAAATCACTGAAACCGAAATATTAAGGATTGCCACTTTATTTATACTTTTCATCATTTTTTGGGAAGATGAGTCTTGGAACGACATTATGACAAAACTAAGAACAATAAAGTTGAATTGAACTGAATTTAATCGGTGCATGTCCACTTCATGTTGCACTACATTGCTGTATACAATTTTTGTGAATATTAGTAGAGACAGCGCACAATTAAAAGTGATTGCACCAGAGTTAGCTCGAAGCTAATGTGCGTCTGTTGTTCCTGGGCAGGTAGACAAAAAGAGAAAAGAGGAGCGAAATGTTTTACTCGCGTCTGAAAGCAGGCAAAGAAAGAACTTTGGCTACAAGAAGGCTCATCTTCTGCAAGCTTCATGTGTGAGATCGCCAGCTTTTTATATGACGCCTTTAATAAATCTTTAATTATGTGCTATATGAGCCATTAAACTACTACATCCAAGCACCTGCCCACCTTTTTTTTTTATTTGAATTTGTGAAAAAGGTGTTTTTTGCGTTGCTTACTGTACAGGCAGCTCTGTAACAGAATTGTGGTTGATGTCCAACACCTCCAGTCTGCTGCTCTCACACACCCAGGCAGGGACACATCCCAGCTTGTTCCTTGAAGAAAAACAACACACAAAACAGTCAGCCCCCAGCTTACAACAAGCACATAGCCTTCTTATCCACACAGTAAATAGGACAGTGAGGTATTCATAGTCTTCATACCAGGACAAATCCAGAACAGACAGATTCTCTGGCACCGGCTGCACCTCCAGCAGCGTCAGCTCTACAAACACAGCATGCGGGATTCTTTATAATCTGCATCTGAATATGTGTGTGTGTGTGTGTGTGTGTGTGTGTGTGTGTGTGTGTGTATATATATATATACATATACATATATACATACACACACACACACACACACACACACACACACACACACACACACACACACACACACACACACACACACACACACACGTATAGCTCCAGACATTATCTGTTAAACACACAGCACATAATGAATGTTAGTACCGTTGTGTGTGGCGTGCAGGCTCTTGAGGGCGTGGCCACTGACTCTGAGGAAGGAGAGAGTGTTTCTGTCGCAGCGGAGGAGCTCCAGCCTACAAAGAGACCGAACATCCAGCTCCTGTAGCCCCGTGTCCCTCAGGTCCAGCTGGACGATGTGGACCAGCTGCTCCGAGTCTCCCACTGTCACCTTCTGAAGGCGGTTCAGCCTATACAAGAGAAAGAAGGAACATAAGGAAAGAGGCAAGAATGAACTTTTTGAACTTGAATCATTTGGTTTCATTTTGGCTTCAGCATCTTGGGAGGTGTTAGATCACAGATGAGCTTTGTTCCAGTGTTATATCTAAAAATGTCAAAGAGTCTGTGTGGATGTGTTTACCTGAGATCTATGTGGCGAGCAGGCAGCCACTGCAGTGCTGCCATATCCAGGACAGAGAGCTGGTTCCCTGCCAGACAGAGTCTCTCCAAGCCTCTGAGTTTCTCCAGGACGGGAGGGGCGCAGCTGAAACAGTTGAAGGACAAGCCGAGGTAGGTCAGGCCCTCCAGAGAGCCCAGCTCCACGGGCAGAGAAGCCAGGAAGTTACTGTCCAGGAGGAGAGTCTGGAGGCTGGACACAACAACAAGAGAAGAAAATATAAAAGAACATGTCGAACATATAAACAGGACATAACCACACACAATAAGTGCTTGACCCCAAATTCCCTGTTAATGCGGGGACAGCATCAGCATGACTCTGCACTCTGATCACCTCCTGCACAGGAGTCTGGTGCAGCCAGTTGTTCACTTAACACAGTCAGGGATTCATCTGCACATTGAAAACAACTCCTGTCTGATGTCACCAAAGTACAGCTCACTGAGGATACATTCCGCTCTTGGGCAAATACCTGTCATCCTCATTATCAACACCGTTATCATTAGTAGCTGAAGCCCAGAGGTCATCGTTTCTTTTGCTTTCAGCACACTTACTTGTGCATAGCTCCTACTTCAGCAGGCAGAGACGAGAGACGGTTTCCAGACAAGTTTAGCTCTGTGAGAGAGGTGATGTCGCACAGGGCCAGAGGGAAGTCTGACAGGGCGTTATTTGACAGACCGAGGCTTCTCAGTTTACAAAACCTAGAGAGAGTTAAAGAGGTGGGGGGGGGGGGGCAGGAAGAAATGGGCAGAAAGAGAGGGATAAAGATATTAATCTCTCAGTGCTATAATAAGACTTATCCTGAACTGAGGTTAAAAAAAACAAAACTCTTTTAGTTACATAACATCGGTCTCATAAACAAGGACAATTACGGGAGGACACATGGTCTCAAGGAAACAGCACCATAGCACTCAAAGAACACGCTATTTAAAGCTAAATGTTTACACAACTAAAAGATTTCATCGTAGCAATGCAGCATGTGGTTCAGGTAGGAGTGTGTGTGTGTGTGTGTGTATCCAGTTCACAGAGGGGTCGGGGTGAAAGGCAGAGCCAGGCTCATGTCCTTCCCAGGGAGACTCACAGGCACACCACCGGAAAAACGCATTCCTCAAAACAGCGCCTGGGAAACGTGTGTTTATGGAGGAACAATGGCAGTGTATATACAGTATGAATGGATTTATTGTCATCAAGCAAATGAGAGAGACATAAATTGCTGCAAGTTAAATATTTGATCTAAACTTGTCATAAGCATTGCACTGCGTCTTTTGAGCAACTAACATATTAGCTAATAAGAATATACAGTATACGAGGTAAACATGTTCACCTAAATGCTACCAGCTTGTAATTACCTCAGCGCCATATTACGAGCACTTGACTTTATCTGAAAACAGATATTACGTGGCATCATTAAACAGGAGTTGCGGTCCTGTTATGAAGTTAAATTAGGATATGTGATATTCAATAGAGTTTTGCATAAGTGAAGGAAACAAAGCTCTTCAGGGAAGGGATTCAGGGACATTTTATTTAGCTAGAGAGCTTTTAAACTAGGATAATGCCACCGAAGATATATCTATGAATACCACAAACATGACTCAGTTTTTAAGTCGAAACATAACGTCAGTCAACTCTTGCTACCATAGACGGCATTAATATGCAGAAACATGCAGACTTTCAACGACAAGTCTCACCACCAAATGTGTATTGATCAGCCACTGAAAAACATCCCCAGCAAATATGCCATTCAAAGTGTATGACCTGTGTTTAAAGATTTACATCTCTAGACTTCTACTGCTCCTATAGTAGTGTTATTATGGTAAGGATGGCCTCTGATCAAAGTGAACAGGGTTACCCCGGTTTTGTACTCGGCGAGTCGTCGCCTCACGTTACCGCAGTCTTGAAAAGGAAGAGGTGAGCGGGATGGGGTATTCAGTTGGTTGCAATCTCCAACTTCATCGCTAAATTCCACTAAATCCTACACACTGGCTCTTTAGGTATTTTGATGGGACAGTTGTCTCTGAGCCGTTGACTAAAGCAAGTGAATAATGGAACAAACCCACTGACGATCTCTTGCACTGAAAATGAAGTTGCTAGACAAGACTGCGACATCAGCGACCCATTCAACAAGAACCTCTGTCCCAGAGGTACGGTGGCTGGGTGTCAACTCCATCATCACCAGTGTAGCTCTCTTTAATCATCCAAACCACACGGCCACGGCCACACACACACACACACACACACACACACACACACACACACACACAC